CGGGCGACCCGCCCGAAAAATGGGCGACCAGCTCATTTTGTCTGAGCAGCAGCACTGTTCACGCGAGCGACCGGGACCAAAAATGGGCGACCCAGTGTAAAAAACGGGCGACCCGCTCCAATTGTCTGAGCAACGACACTGTTCACGCGAGCGACCGCCCGTCAGAATGGGCGACCCGCCCGTTTTCTCTGAGCAAAAACGATCCGGGTACTGTAGCAGCGAGCGACCCGCCCGTTTTTTGGGCGACCCGCCCGTTTTCACCTGGAAACGCAGATTTGGAATTCGGAAGCATCCTGTCGACCTCCCACACCATTCTTGACTCATCTCGAGGTTCAAAAGAGAAATCACACGACGATTGGGACCCCCAACATGCTCCACAAGTGGAACTAAAACCCTTACCCCAAGGGCTTAGGTATGTCTTCCTTGGCTCAAATTCTACTTATCCCGTTATCATTAATGATGCATTAGATGAGGATCAAGTAGAAAAACTTACCAAGTTGCTTAGGCAATATAGGGAAGTCCTAGGTTACACTCTAGGAGACATTAAGGGTCTTAGCCCCTCTCTTTGCATGCATCGCATACATTTAGAGGATGATACCAAATCGTCAATTGAACATCAACGTAGGCTAAACCCGAACATGAAAGAAGTGGTCAAGAAAGAGGTCTTGAAATTGTTAGATGCGGGTATCATTTACCCGATTTCGGATAGCTCTTGGGTTAGCCAGTACAAGTCGTACCTAAGAAGGGAGGAATCACGGTCGTTCCAAATGAAAACAATGAACTCATACCGACTAGAACTGTTACGGGATGGAGAATGTGCATCGATTATCGAAAACTTAACACAAACACCCGTAAGGATCACTTCCCCCTTCCATTCATTGACCAAATGTTAGAGAGACTTGCACTGCATTCTTATTTTTGTTTTCTCGATGGTTACTCCGGTTTCTTTCAGATTCCTACCCATCCGAGTGACCAAGAGAAAACAACATTCACATGCCCTTACGGCACTTTTGCATATAGACGCATGCCATTTGGATTATG